AATTTTTATTCTACATTATCTCGACTTTTTATTATGCAAGTCGACCTTCATTTATAATAAAAAAATGTTGACCATGTTAAAATATACCCAAATCTAATAAAAACTCATTTTTCATTTTTGGGTAGTTTCTGCCCTTTCTACTGCAAAGTGCCCATGTATCAATAACCCTAATATATTAGGTACTACTATTCGAATTAGACTACAACAACTTCAAAATAACTTATGGTCTAGGACTAACATATTACAATATCCTAATACTATAATCGACAGAATTATTTTATATATTAAGAAAATAATCAAATTATATTAGGAAGATAATCAGATTATATTAGGAAGATAATTAGATTACTTTACATATTAGAAATATAATTAGATTATATAATAATAATTATTAATTTGATATAAAAAAAATATACTTTATTTGTTTAGTATAAATAGTGAAATCATGCATAATATATAATATATAAATAAAACAGTATATAAGAATAATCTAGCGCTTTACATAATTGTGATCCTTATTTGTTATTTTTTGCTATGACCCATTTCTTGAAAGTCATTTTAGTATTTGCTCTAGTTCCTTTATTTTCTATATATTAAACAAAAGTATTATTATAAATCAAATATATTAAGATATAAAGAAAAAAGATGTTACAATGTATCAAATTACATACTAAGATTATTTCCATACTGCTTTAATAGAGATAATGGTAGGGCAGATGATTGAGTATTAATATTACTGCTGATTTTACCTGTATTGGAACTTGCTGAAAACTGGGTTTGAATTTTTGAAGATCCTGAAGTGCGAGGGGTAATGGTAGATTTTCCTAATACATTAACAGAACTATCGACCTCAGTTGTAGTAGAACTTGTTGCTGATAACTGGGTTAAAAATCTTGAAGTTCGTGAAGACCTTGTTGTATGTTGGATAAGAGTAGATAGGCCAGATACATTGTTATCAGCTTTAGAATTATTAACTTCAACTGTGTTGAAGCTTCTTGTTGCTAATAAAGATATTGAGGGCTTTGTGGTGTGTAAAGCAATAGTAGATGGTTTGAATACATCATTATTATCATTCTCTTCAGAACTATTGATTTTAATTACATTAAAATTTGTTAATAATTGGTTTGGAATAAAAATTTTAATCTTATAGCACAGGAAGTAATAGTAGATGATTCAGGTGTATCATCATCAGGAATTTTATTAATAATAGAAGTAATACTATTTTGTCTCAAAAAATTATTTTCATAAGATGCGATTGACCTGGCATCACTTTCATTGTCAGTTTCAGTTATATCAGAATTTGTTACTAGTGATTGGACTACAGCTTTTTTTTTAAACCTTGAAGTAGGAGGAATAGCATTTTTATATTTAGAGGGAGGAGTGATGCCTTGGGTATGAGCTTCTTTTATTTTGTTTTTATATTCAGTTTCAACTACAAATTACTTTAATATTAATATATCGACATATAAATTATTATATTATAATATTAATATATCGACATATAAATTATTATATTAAAATATAAATAATGTATCACCCCAATTTTCAATAATATTTTCAGATATTTTCTGCAAAACAAGATCTCTAACAGAAATAGAGAAAGTTGGAAAATCACATTTAAACTAAATCAAATATAATTATTAGTTTTAGTATAGTTATAAAATAAATAATTATAGTGATAATAAATATGAATATAGGTACATCATTGATAATTTTCCTAATCCTTCCTGATGCTTGTTTAGATGCATATTTGCCTTTTTAGCAGCTAGACACTAATTTGTCACACAAATTTCTCTGCATATTAAAATATATTTATATAGTTAGATGATAATTTTTAGTTATTTATAAAAACAAAATAAGGGGTGTGTAATATAAAAACTTGCCCGATATGTTTAGTAAGTATCATGGAGCAAACGTAAGAAGTCTTTCTAGTCTTTTTTGGTTTTTTAGTGTTTTTTCATTGTTTTCACTCTTCTTTAGTAATTGGGTTTTGCACTGACCTATGTGGAAACTAAAATAACAATATAAGAATTTATTAAAAATTAAGATAATAAACAATAAAACCTTACTGATAAATTAACAACTCCTATAATAGCATTTGATAATGCAGGAAGGGCTTGTGTAAACTTGAAAGAAGTTTGTACTGCACTAGGTTGGGAGTTTTGAGTAATAGTTGCAAGCGCTTGCTATAAAATAGTATTGAAGAAATAGTGCAATATTTTGTTTTGCCTCTGCATTTTTGTTATTATTATTATATTCATTGTTAGAATGATTATTCATATTATTCGAATCATTAAAACTAGACATTTTTGCAAGCAAATAAATATTTTTTGTAAGATTTATTTTTTTAAAAAAATGATTTAATGGTATTTATAGTCAGTGATTAAAAGCTGATTAAGTGATTTATAATTACATATATGTATATAACCTATTGTATTTTGTAGTTTAAAATACCATTTGTGCCAAATAGTAAAAATTTTCTTCTTAAATACTGATGTGACATATATTAATTGCAATATTTAGTTTTTTATGTATAAAAAAATTTGCATTATGCAGGTACTTTAATCCACAAAGTATGATATTTGATTTATTTTATGATTGCTTGTTTTCATAATAACTTATCAACCACAATAATGGGAAGACAAGTGTTGTGTGCTTGTATATTTTGTCGAAATGTATCTAGCAACATTGGAAAATATGTAAGCATCTCTACTCGAATGAGGCATCGACAACAGGAAAAGGACATTAAAAATATGCTACCTATTTTATTAATTGATACACAAGACCTAAATCTATACATTGATAATATACAACCTTATAATAGACCAGAAATATCAAATTACTTATTTAATACTTCACCTTCAGCATTAGTTTCCAATTTGTCAGATAATGAGTTGGAATTAGATAATTTTGATAAGAACATATTTGAGTTGGATGATCTTAAAGAAATGGAGAAGCAGGGTCTTCACTTTTTACGGTTTCTAATACTTTAGAAAATGGTAACTTATTGAAATTAGAGTTTGATTTAGAAAAAAATGCATTGGAATTCGAACAAAATAATCACAAATTCGAACTAGATAAATGAACATCTGATTTGGACAAGAATTCAAATTAGAGGCACAAAAATTTGAATTAGGAGGAGGAAATAATAATGGTAAATCTATTATTTCTAAGTGCAGTCATTAATAGAGTTTGAATCAAAGTTTTTTTGAACTTATGTTTTTTCTTTCTTCCTTAAAACAAATTAGATAATTTAATTCAGAAACTTCGTTTCCTATATGTTAAAAATAAATACTCTTTGCCAAATCAAGCATTTAATGAAATTTGAAGATATTTAAAATTCCAGAAGTGTCTTTACATAAACTTCAAACAACTTTTAAAACTTAATTCCCCTTGAGCCAAAGCTTGTAGATATGTATTGGAACTCTTGTTGTGCGTATAGTGAAAAAAATATTAATTGTAAAATATATCCTAAGTGTGATGAACTATGATATGTGCCTGGACAAATACCAAAAAAAGCCTGAAAATTTGCTGCATATTTTTCTATAATTAACAGTTTACGAATACAATATAAGGATCCATTACATGCAAAAACTTTCTAATATTGATATGAATACACCTCAAGAACAGAATATGTGTCTGAAAATAGTGTAATCGAAGATGTCTTTGATGGTAACAGATATAATTTCTTAGTTGCATCAGGTTTATTTACAGATTCTTGTGATGTTGCTTTGATTGCATCCACAGATGTTTATCAATTGTTTAAAAAAAAGCAAAATGATTGCTGAATTATTTTACTTTTGAATGTGAATCTACCTTCAGATCAAAGAGTAAAGAAGAAAAATTTGATGATAACTGCAATTATTCCTGATTCAAAATTACTAAAAGACTTCAATAGTTTCTTAAAGCTGCTTGTAGATGAATTAAAATGTCTTGAAGGTAAATTTAATTATCTATATTAACCTTATATTAAGAATAATAAAAATTTTATCTTGTAAACTTTAATCATAGATCTATATATATTAGACCTGGTGCAAATTACAAGGTCTTTAATTAAATATAATTTTTTCAAAATTTAATTGCTTGTTATTTCAAATTTATATGATATACTATAAAAAAAGGCAATTTTGCAAAAAATCTTGCTATTACTATATTTTTATATGAGCATTATCATTTCGCCAGTAATTTCACCACTTAAGAAAAATTTAATTTCATCAACTATAAAAATTTAATTCAAGACTATTTGTCAAAAGAATTATTTATTAAAAAAAGTAATTTAGGCACCCATGTATAGGTCTACTATAGGTTTTAATGTTGGTAAAAATATAAAGCTTAAATTTATAACAGAATGAACTAATAAAAAAAATTTTAATAGCAGGTATATTATGTTATGATGTGCTATCACAAGAGATATTTGAATTGCAAGGTCATATATTATCATAGTCTGAAGATATTCCAGCCTTGTCCAAGGTCATGTGTATCTCTAGCCACAATGCTTATAGCAGATGCCACTTTTGCTACTTTCATAGAACTTATTCAGAAACAACCTGTCATGTGAATTTTCCACTTTCACTGCCCAAAGAATATAATAGTATGATATATAATTCAAATAAATTACTAATGCAATCTCATATCAGTTATCTGCAAGACATTAAAGCATTAGAAAACAAAAGTAGAAGTGAGTGACATAAGATAGAGCATAAGACAGATGTAAATGGATGTAGTGCTTTATTTGAATTATATTCAATTAGCTTTCTGTTATCATTTCCTGTAGATATCATGCATGCTCTTTTTGAGAATACTATACAGCATATGTTTCAGCACTTTACTGGTAAATTTTTTAATGATGAGAAACTTAATAATATGGAATATGAAATTGCAACAAAGAATTGGAATTAAATTAGGAGGATAGTCGAACTTAATCAAAAAATAATGCCGTTAGAGTTTGAAAGACCACCGACAAACATTCAAAAATATTATAATACTTTAAAAATCGAGGACTGGTACAATTGGATAGTTTTATATTCGCTTCCACTTTTACAAGGACGTCTTTTAACAAAGTATCATTTTTTCTTAATATTATTTATTATTAGATTTAGGTGTTGGTCTGGGTTTATTTTTTATATATTAAAATCAGTTTGAACTTTTTTGTTACATATAAAAATAAATCTGTATTATACATTATTTGTCAGATATGAGATATCTTTGTAACTATAGTTGTTTTTTTACTTTTTAATTATAGACATATGAACAGGTAGGCAAAATTTGTTAGAGGAGTTCAATTGTGTCTTAAACTAATAATTTCCAAGAGAAAACTTTAAGAAATAAAGAAACTCTTTATAAGCTTCATTAATTATTATGAACAGTAATTGTTATTTCTAAAAATTTCGCAGAATAGTATTTTAGTTTTATATTTTGTGAAGATCTTTTATTATATTGACAGATTTCGAAATTGGATTTATGGGTATATAAAATAAACTAGAAATTTGTCGCAATTCATATTTAGGTTGTTGTATTTAAAAAAACTAAGTTGCATACCTAAAAGTGTATGACTAACTTTATTTTACCAAACCAGAAATTCTTCAAATTTATTATCCAGATACTTCATATCGATTTATTAAATATTATTTTTTCAATTTTAATCACAATTACAAATATAGAGAATATTACCAAAGAGAACCTGAGCGGCTTCAAGCGGCACTTATCAGCTTTCATTACCTTTTGCATATCGCTAAGTTGATTTTTGAGACAAGACCACCCTGGGCAACATGGAAATATCTGATAGAAAGGCTATGTGGAATGTTAATACCTCTAGTTCACTCACAACAAAATCCATACATGAACTTAGTAAATCGAGTAACATTGTGAACACAGTTTGCACACCTGCAATATTATGCTAGATATAATCAAAAGATTTTTGAGATTTTTTCAGAGGAACCTCAGGCCTGGTCACTAAGATGTGTTTTTAGCCCTTCAACTAATGAAGAGAAATTATATTCATTATTCCAAGAACACATGATGACAACAACTGAAGTTCATAAGATTAAGCAATACTATGCAACTGCACTTGATTTGGTGTTTAGCTGTATTAAGGTAATATTCAAAAGTCTGTGGTCCATAAGTACATAGATTTATTAAATACTAACTAATACAGAATAAAATACCAGATAACAAATAACAAAATCTATAAATATGGTAAATTGTGCACTAAATACGGGGCAGTAATTGGTTTTCAACTTGCTAATCACAAAGAAGATATTTCGCAAAATAATTACTCAATCACGGTATGTAAATTTATTTATACTGCTGAACCTCTCAAAATTGATATGAATGGTGAACAAGTTTTACATCAAATTGAGTGGTTATCAAATTTGAAAACTTTATAACTAGATTTATATAGCAGAAAGGTACTTGGTTGATCAATTTTTTTATCTGATTTAACAGGTTATCAGATTTCACATGATCTGTTTTGGGAGGTTCAACAGTAATTATATTGTAAATAGCAGTATACTAATACAAAGTTTATTTATATAGGCAAAGCTTCTGGTCGGCAAAAATGCTCATCGCCCAAAGGCAACTGTTGACTTTGAAGAACAGATGTTTTACGGACAAGTTTTATTTTATTTTATGCATGAATATGAGGGTGAAATTTCCATGCTTGCATATGTGCAGTGGGTAAGAAATCCAGAAAATTATGGAAATAATATAACATATTTTTGAAACTTTGGTGAATTCGGAATTATTAATGTTACTACTATTGATCGTTGTGTGGGATTTTTTAAACTTGAAACGAATAAATATATCATAATAGATAGAGAGAATCGGGTTACATTTAGATAAAGTTTTAAATATTTTGAGGCTTTATTTTTTAGATATATTTTGTAACAAAGATAAAACTTAAAAGGGATCTTGATAATCTCTGATATCCTAGCTGAATAATCGTCATGTATACTTTCCTGATTATTTCACTTACTTTCTTGTCTTAAAATATTTGGACACTTTTTCTATTTCTTAATGATACCCTTGCAATCCTGAGAATATAATTCGCCTGAATTTTAGATCGAACTATAACATCAAATTTTGTCTGGTGATGTTAAGAAATACTTTTACAACACAGCCAACTTTTCATAAAAATATATTGTTAGGTCGCATTTGTAAACATGAATTTTGGAATGATTATGATATGCACTTATAAAATACATATAATGTATCGACTGTAATATGTGAGAAGGTATCATAACTTTATTAATAAAAATGCCCGATGGTATCCGTTTGGAACAAAAAAAAAAACAAATAATGCTGAATAATAAAATTCTAAATCGGAAAATTTTCGGAACATTTTCAAAAATTCATTTTTTTATAAATATTAAATCCTGATCATTTTCGGGTTATAGTTATTTTAAAAAAATTTTTAGGAATATTTCCGGGACAATATCAACATCGATATATTAATTTATATTATGCAAATTTAGGTTCGGAATACGATCGGGATGGATTCAACCTGTCCGGAACAAAATCTTAATATATCTGTAAAAAATTTTTTATAGGGTTATCTGGGCAGCTTTACTTAGTGAGTGGGCTATGGTTTCATTAGTAAAATTTTTAGTGATCTTGGGCAAAATTAATCAATGCCAGTGCAATCCGACCCATAATTCGGGCCGATCTGCTGAAATTTTGTTTCTATCCGGTCGGCCATGACCAGTGTTGGGTCATTTGGTCATAACGAAGATTGATATGACTTATGACCTTTTTTTAATATAGTAAGAATCATAGTAAAGATTTTTTTCATTAGTATTTAATATGACCGGATGACTATGACCAAAAGTCATATGATTATATGACCAAGGTCATATAGAAAAAAAATGGTATGACATAGACACTGGTCATGACCGGTCAATAACCGTAATAGTAACCGATATGAGGTTAACCGACCGGTCAAAATTATGACTGATACCGATGCCAGATTTTGAACCCATCCATAATCTTGATATGCTTGATTGATAGATATTGTGACATTACCATCATCGATCTGGAATGACACTTTGACAAAAAATAGGTTGCATTGACCTTGTATAATTATAAAGATCGTTGAGTCTACGTTTCTGGTTTTAGTGCGACAGCGTCGCACAGCTACCTTATAGTATAGGAACGTACTAGAACGAAGTGTATGGCTCACATACGAGTTTGCGTTCGTCCACAAAATCTTGAGTAGTAATAGGGTGATTTTTATGACGTAAGATCTAAACTTATGAAACTAGATTATGATTGAAATCACGATCATATCTAAATGCGGTTTGTTATTATAATAAATTTCTGGTAAATTTCAAGTTTGGATCTGGAACACTTGAACGATGAGATACCAATGCTGTGACGTCAAAAATACTTTAGCATGCAACACTTTCGACGTTCAGTAATCTTTTGATCTAAAATGGCACCTTTTAGATTGTTGATAACCATTTGACTTAAACGATATAAAATATGCTGATAATTGCAGGGATGGAAAATCCACCTATACTCTTTTATTAATAATTCTAACCCTAAATCCTAACTTAACTATAAGAAAAAGCCTACAAAAAAGGCCCTAAAATTTTTAAAAATCGCACATAAAATAGATCCAAATTTCACGATAATCCGATTTCACGATAATCCGTGATATACGGAGTAATTTTATATATTGTATGTATTGGATGTACATAAACCTTTAGCACATGTACATAGAGTTGATAATTATATAGAGGTGATTATCGAGAAAAATGACTATGCATTATTGATAAAAATAACTTTGACTAATTATCAATATGCTCTATAGTATTCAGTTCGGTTTCTATTTGTTCACAATGATTAATTTCTTCTTCTAATTTTTGTTTATATATATGCTCTTTTCTATTGATGTAAGACTCCATAAGCTCAGGGATTACAATCCATTTCACCTTTGTTTTTTTTATATCTTCTTTTTTAATATTTATTTTAACTTCTTTGGCTTCTTTATTTTCACGTGGGAGATCTTGAAGTGGGTGTGTGTAAACTTTTTTTCTTGAGCGATGTGAGTAGGTGATATATTGGACTAAACCAATTTCAAGAATATTTGCATAAACTTTTGCATTTTCAATGAGTTCCTTTGCTATAATTTTTGTCCCTGGAATATTAATTTTATTCCTGTCATATTTTTCAATCTTTTCCTTCAAAAACTTTTTGCCAACAGGTTTTTTAAATTTTTCAAATATAATTTTTTCAGCAATACCTTCATTATCTTTAGGATCTTCTTTAATAAATATAAATTCTTCTTCTTCATTATCTATATTTTCATCAGAATCCAATTCGTGGAGTTGATCCGAATAAAATTGTTCAATCTTTATATATTCTCTGTTTTTATAGAAATTTTTTATTTTCTCAATTTTTTGATCATTAACTCCATCATCGTTAACTTCTATATAAAGTCTTTGATGTCCTAAAAAGTCAGACACTTTTTCATAATCATTAATCCGTAAAAAAACAAATTTTCTCATATCAAGATTTTTTGATTCGTCTTTTAAAAATTTTCCATATTTCTTAATATCTTTAACTCTAATTTCTCCATCATTAGAAAAGAAGGATGAAATTGAACGAGTTAAAACAGTAGTAAGAATAAAGAAAAAAATTGAATCAACATTTCTAGGAGTGCAATAAAGGGCGTATTCAAAAAAACATTCTACGATAGAAATAAAAATCACAAAAAAGAAAATTCTTTTTTGTATAAATCTTTCATATATTTTATAAATAAATTTTCTTTTTTTTACTCTAATTTCCTTTAAAGGTATAATATAAGTAAAAAGTAAAGTTGTAGATAAAACGAAATAAACTATATCTGTAAGGACACTTAATCCTTCTAAGTTTAAAATAACAAAATTGGAATGTTCTTCAATCTCATCAAGTATTCGTAATGTACCATAAACAATCGTTAGAACTGAATTAATAAAACAAACCACAATAATTAAAGTTTTAAAATAACTATAGTATTTAAGGTGAGTAGTTGGATTGATCGAAGGAATAAAATTAAAAAAGGTAAATAAGGGTATTGAATGAAAAGAACGTACCAAATATAATATAAGTAAAAAGATGATCAAAAAAATCAGTACGATAAGTGATAAGCAAACTATGGTAGGCGCTTTAAACATGGTAAAGGCCAGTTTTGCAGTAAAGAACCATGAAAACATAGGTATTAGAAGGCATGTGAGAATTAAAAGGTCATCAATAATGCAAGTTGTTCTAAATTTGAATCTAGAAGTTACTCCGTAAAAAGCCACGTTAAAAATCAATCCTGCAATAGTCCCAAAACCTGATATTTGAGAAATAACGCTAGTATGTGAAATTTGCTGGTAATAAACGCCTACATCACATTCAAATGTAGCAGTTTGATTGTTATATTTTGGCCTAAAGATTATTGAACTTATATCATGATCTATTGTGGCATATATTATCGTTTGAATTAGGAATTACAGCTGATTAGTATAGTATGTGGTTTGTATCATACTGATCTGCTCATTCATACCATACTTAATATTTTTAATATATAGATAGATAGTCTACACTCTACCCTCGTTATATCGGACCTGTCAGGCTGAAAAAATCTGTCTGTTATAATATAAATCCATTATCACATTAGTGGATTTATTGATATATATAAGTTGTGCGTCCAATTAGAATCTGCGTCAGATTAGATCATTATAATCCCGCTAATACCTAACATAGGCACTCACCCTAACCCTAACAAAACTCCGCATTTAAACTCTGACCTGACGCAAATTTAATCTGACGCACGACATATATAATCGAGTAGTTTGATCTCATTTATGGATATAGTCTGACCTCTCAACCTTCACTGGTAAAAAAATTATATTTTAACTAAATATTAACCAGTAATATATAGTACAAATATTAACTTATTTCTATATATTTACTAGGTAATATATGCAGTTTAATATATTTTTAGCCAATATGTTTAAATACATATATTACCTAGTAAATATATAGCAAATAAGTTAATATTTGTACTATATATTACTGGTTAATATTTAGTTAAAATATAATTTTTTTTACCAGTGAGGGATGGTAAATGATCTGGTCATTTGATCAAAATTTAAATAGCCCCAAGTTATCAAATAATGACCAGGTTATTTGGATTATTAAGGCCATTTTTGGATTATTTATATATAAAACAAGAAATTATTTTTTTGAAGTTGAAACAAGTAATAATGAATCCAGAATTCTTGATACTATACTAATTATCGATATTACGAAAAATTTGAAGCCTCCAGTCAAATTCGTAAAAATAGCAACTTTGATATAAATATTATCTGCCAGTTCACTATGAAAGTGTTTGTTAATAAGTATGGATTATCAGCCACTATGATACACAAATGCCCAATGGAGGGATGATGAAATTAATCACCGCAGAAAATTATCGTCCCTGGCCCAATGACAAATATTACTCTTTATAAAAACGGAAATATAATAAAAAGGTTTAGTTGCGAAACGTAACTTTGCATGGATAAGCTAACAAGTATTTATTCCGTATTAATATTCACAAAAATTAAATTGTTTGCGTTGGGTTTTATTTGGCTTCTCGAGATATAATGCTTGATTAATATGGAGCTTATTCAAAATATTATATATATTTTTTTTATATTAAGCTATGTAAATTATTTTTTAATTTGTGATATTCCTACCGAAAGATACTTCGTTAGTTAAGAATAAGCTTTATTTTTTTGGTGGAGACAACGGAACAAATGTCACTGATGAAGTATGGTACCTTTATTTGTCAAAGCCATTTAATGTATCTATGCCTCCATGGTACAAGGAAGCAGGAATGAATTTAGCTGTTGCTCTTGCTTCTTCTTGTGTCAGCCCTATTGAATAATACTACAGTTTTTTTAGTCGGTGGAAATATGTATACTGCTAAGAATACTAGTCAGCTTTTCTATCCTTCTGAAGTACATGTATTTGATTCTAAAGCTTCATATTGGAAGTTTCCAAATCTTATTGGTTTTAATAATTCTTTTACGACGCGTTACTTCTTTCAGGCGGTTATTGATAATCTTCATGTTTGGAGAAAGGAATTCTAATATGAGTAGCGAGAATATGACTACAAAAAGCATTTGGTACAATGATATGAATATGCTTGATACTAATACTATGAAATGTCAACATTACAATGATAGAACGGGGAATACTTCCGTTAAGAATGAAATGGAATTATTATAGCCGATAAATCTCAAATTATTTCAAAAATTAAATTTTGAAAATATTCCAGGTCCCTGAATATAAGTATGTAATATAAACCTATTTATCCAAATCTAAAGCACTTAAAGAAATGGATGTATTAAAAAACTTTTGTAATTCATTTTCGACAAATAGGGAGAGTCATTCATATTAATTTAACGATCTATATATTTTCTAAAATTGCAAACTAAGTCAGTTGATGAAATCACAATGCAAAACTCTATTTTGTAATAAAATTCATGAATAGAATTTCAAGATTAGGCCGTAATGCTATATCTAATCAAAAGCTTTATGATATAATGTAAGAATTAGTATATATAATTATAAATATCGTTGTCTATGTTCTTGATTTTAGTGCAATATCTGCGTACCTTATAATGATAAAATTATTTTACATATTACAGCTGTTCTCATAAATTTTGGAACATCTGGTAAAAAATTGACCAAATGATTATTTGACCGATTTGATAAGTTAGATTTCGGCATAACATTTACTATTTACGTAGATAGGTACATACATACATACGTACGTATATTTTAAATTAATTACTAATGCTAATCGATTTGAAAATAAAACACATGAAAATATAAAATGCTACAAGGCTTTAAATGACTTCTATTTTTACATCCTAACCAAAGTTCCATCTCTGATTGTAATTTATAATACCAGTCAGGCTTTCTTCCTTCCATTAAAGCCTTAAGATATTTTATATTATTCAAGTTTAGTGGACGTGGTTTTCTTATAAATGGCGGAAATCTTTCAACACAACCATATCTTTGAAATTGAAGATCTGTTAACATCTAAGTATTTAGCAATTGTCTAAACTAATAACTCTTCTAATTTTTTTTTCAACTATTTTCCAGCGAATTTGCTTCGAAAAAAATATTATATTTAACGTGTTATATCGATATCTGGTTATTATCATTAAAATTGTCACTCTTGCACCATAAATAATATGTTTCATGTGAGTTATAATTTGCAAATCGACTAATAATCAATTTAAAATGTATATACCAGGCACCCGATTTGTCACGTAGATCACAGGGGTAAATTTTTTACTATGAAATTTGAGTGATCGACATGAATATGATGGGCTCATTTTTCATAGTAAATTGCAACAGTAGGCCCTTTTTGAATGCTGTTTTTAGGGGTTCTTAAAAAGAAACCACGCTCACGAGACATAAAGTACCATAGTCTAATAATACATGTTCTTTCTTATTTTTTATATTTAAAATGAGATATGTAATAAATTTGAAAAGAATGCGGCCCTTGAAGTTGGGCTTTCGTTTCATTTTTATATATAGTATTCGCTTATTTGATTTTTATAAACTTATCAGGTCCGTTTAAAAACTACAAACTACTAGAACTTTAGAAAAGGTTACAAGCTACGATCACAAGGTACGAGTTTTAATTAAACAAAACTTGTTAGGGTTTAGGAATCTTGTAATTAGAAAGAATTTGAACTTGAATTATAGTAGTTTAAAGTCTAATGAGTTAAAACTCAAACTATTACTAAAAAAACAATTTATTAAAATTCGAACAGATTAAACCAGACTTTATTATGGACGATGTTAGCTTGGTATTTTAAAAAAAGAATCTATTATATTAAAAATTGCTGGGTTGGATTAAATTAAAGCAAGATATAGTTGTAATTCGAAATACAATTGTGACTTAAAAAAAAAATTTGTAAATTTATTTATTTTTTTTTATTAAAAATTATATAGTTTTAAATAATATCTTAAATACATTGATTAATAAGTGGGCTTTATGCTGGGAAAAGGGATGAAAGGGAAAAGGGTCGAAAGAGAAAACGGTCGAAAGGACGAAATTGACAAAAAAAAACCCATATACAAAAAATTAATTATCTCATGAACTATCATTCAGAATTATATAATTTTGGTATCATTCGATTCATCTCAGCGAGTCGAATCGAATGGTACCAAAATTATATGATTCTGAACGATAGTTCATGAGATAATTAATTTTTTGTACGGGGGTT